CATTTTTTTAAGTAACTAATTATTTTGGTGACAATTATGGTTGGTCAATGCTCTTAACCAAATTAGTCACCATTATTTGTAGGGTTAATTACAATTTAGTACCCTGTACTTACACCGTTAAGGCATGTTAATCCTCGTCTTTTCAATTTTTACAATCGCATACCCTTAGTTTGTAAATTTTTTGCAATGTGGTTCCGTCATTAGGGTTTTTGTTAGATCTTTCTGTTAAATGCCTATGTGGCATTATGAGTCCCACATTTTTTAATTTTTTTAATTTTAAATTGATTAAAAAATGAATAAAATATTAAAACTAAAAAATATCAAAAATCAAAAAATCAAAAAATTTCTCTCTCTCTCTCTCTCTCTCTGCGTTCCCTCTGCAACCCAGACCCGATTTCTTCCCCCCAACCTAGATTTCTTCTCCCTCCAATTTCTTCCATTTTTTTGCCATTATCAGCCATGTTTCTTCAGCTCTTAACCTTGGCCTCGCTGGTCCTCCTTCCCCTACTTTTCTTCTTCGTCTTCAAGGCTTCATCACAACCAAACCCCAAAACCAGCAACAACACCAAGCTCCCCAAATCATACCCAATAATTGGCTCTTTAATAACCCTCTACAAAAACGATGAACGCAGGCTCCCATGGATCACAGACCTCCTCCGAAGCTCGCCATCAAACACCTTCACCCTCCACCACTCTCTGGGCAAGCACTTCGTCGTCACGGCCAACCTCACTGTCGTCCAGCACATCCTCAAGACCCATTTCCCTGTCTACGTAAAGGCAACACCTTCCGCACCACCCTCACCAACCTCCTCGGCGACGGCATCTTCAACGCCGACGGCGACACCTGGAAGTTCCAGCGCCAAGTCTCCAGCCACGAATCAAAAAAATCAAAAAATTTATCTCTCTCTCTCTCTCTCTCTCTGTGTAAAAATTCTCCCACAATCCCCTCAAAACCCTAGCCCTAATTCATCTTTAAAATCATCCGATTTGAATCGGTGGTGGTGTGGTTGATTCGTTCGGAATTGAGAGCCGAGAGAGATAGAGTGAAGGATGTCTGCGGCAGTGTGTGGAAGCAAGAGGTCCTTTTTCGAAGAGCTTCCTCCATCGCCGCCTCTCTCAAAGAGGCTTCGCTGTTCTTCTTCTACATCTCCCATTCGCTTCTCTACTCCTTATCTTCTCGATCAGCTTCGCTCTCTCTTCCCTCAGATGGATCCTCAGGTATTAATGGATATGGTCTTCTTGTTATTAGATGTTATTTTTGGTTTTGGATTCCTATTGCCTGCTTGATTTCTGAGAAAAAAAGGGTATTTTGGTTTTGGAGTTTAGGGTCGGGGCAGGGGGAGAAGAAATCGAGGTGGAAGGGGGAGGGAGTCTGGGAAGAGAGAGAGAGAGATAAATTTTTTGATTTTTTGATTTTTTTGATTTTTAATATTTTATTCATATTTTAATCAATTTAAAATTAAAAAAATTAAAAATTGTGGGACCCACAATGCCACGTAGGCAGTTAACAGAGAGATCTAACAGAAACCCTAACGGTGGAACTATATTGCAAAAAATTTACAAACTAAGGTACAACTTGCTCCAGCTCAAAATTGTACCAGTGTAAGAGTTGGCATCTTCCATACTCAAGATTGCTACTTTGACCACATCTTGAATTCACATTGTAACTTTTATCTTGTACATTATGACGGCTTCCTTGTTGTGACTATATGAAATACAATGGAAGAGGACAATAATTTAGAAATTATAAGCTATCTCACAGTTTACTAAATCATGCTATAATTATCATGAAAAATATATACTTACTTGAGTACATGCATGTGCACTTATCATATCCTCCACATTCTTATTGTGAGGCTGTAAACAATTAAAGAGAAGCTTGAATTTTTTTTTTTTGTGATTTAATAAATAACTATATGAATAAATGCTTCGTAAATTATTTTAAGAGTTGTATACCTCTTGAGACATTTTAATAAATGCTTCAAGTTTGGCTTCAATTAGCTCCATCCTTTGAGATTGAGATTTCACTACGGACTCAAGTTCCTTCACTCGTCCGCTGCCTTGAATTACTGCATCTACTCTAGAGGGTGTTGCACCAAACCCAAGCCCTCGAACTCGGCCACGACTTTCATGTCCTATAACTCTTGCTATAGCATCATCTCGTATAGAATTTCTCGATGGTGGATTCTCTTTCGACTCATTGCACGTCTTTATATCTTTCTATAACATATAAAACAAACAGATATAAGTCACGGTTTTTGATTCAAGACCTTTTACTTCATGTGATTCTATGTGCATATGCCTAAGCATTTATATATAACTGGTGGTTTTGCACTGTGATCCTTGTATGTGAAACTTTATATAGTAAATGTACATTTCATGACCATCTAACATTAGGTTTCCTCACTAGCACTCGTTTTGCTGTCTCCAGTTGTAGATGTGCAGAAGATCTACTACTTGTTATTGTCATGACTTCTTCTCAATTGTTGATCATGTCATCCGTGACAGAAGAAGCCATATTCTTGTATCCCTACCTCAGGAACTTTTCCTTTTCAATATGCGAAAATGAGGGATGTCAATCTCTTCTTCAATAGTCATGTCCTTAACTTTAACTCTAAAGAATATGAACATGGACAATTTATAAACGCAATCTTCATTGATCTGTAAATTATTACATGTAAATTATTGGGCACGATATAAGTAACAAAAATATATATTCAGCACGATTTATGTCAAAAATATATACATTGGGCACAAATATTGGTTTTGTGTCTCATGTTGTCACATCGGTCAGATTACACTACAAAAAATGAAAGCAATAGTCACATTTTTTTAAGTAACTAATTATTTTGGTGACAATTATGGTTAGTCACCATTATTTGTATTTAATAATTTAAATATAATAAATTTTGTTATAACTGACACATAAATAGTAATAATGTAATAAAATATAAGAGGATAATCTTTCCCATAATAAAATATTTACAATGGCAATTTAATAAAAATATATAGATGGAATCTTTCTCACTGACCAAGGCTCTTTTCCCTTCCCTCTGTGTAATTAGTACTCTAAATAATAAATATTATAAAATAAAAAAAGTGAGAGCATGCATTTGCATTCAGATGCGCCCAAACCAACCCTTCTTTTTCTTTCTTTTAAAATTTTTTATTCTCCCCATATCTCATCTCTTCCAAAGCCTTCATTTTTTTTAAAATTTTTTTCCCATCTTCTTCTTCCTTCAGTCACTTTCCATCTCTCCCTCTCTTTTTATTTTTATTTTCCTTCTTCTTCTTCTCTCTCTCTCTCTCTCTCTCTCTCTTTCCTTTTTTCCTGCTTCTTCCTCTGTCACTCTGCAATTTTTTCCTCTTCTTCCTCTTTTGCGCGTCTCCCATATCTCTCTTTTTTCTTTCTTTTTTTCCATCCCTCTCTCTTCTGTTCCTTCTTCTCCTTCTTCCCGCTCTCCCTCGAAGACCAGTTGTTGTCTGGCCTGGCCTTATCCTTTTCGTGGGCTAATATTCAGATCTGAACCGCATCTCCCCTTAGAAAGGTAAAGGTTTTGTTTTTTGAAGTTTTCATGTGGGTTTAATTTCAGGAATGATTTTGGGTTTATTTATGTGTGGGTTTTATTTATGAGACTCAATTGGAAAGCTTCCATCTCTCAACCTTCTATTGAAATCCTTTTCAGAACAGAGTTTTTTATATGTGAAGCCCAACCGACGCCGACATTGTTCACACAGATCTACCACCATCCCTTTATCGTAATTAGATTTACCATTTGGAGTTTGATTTTTAGGTTTCAATCCAAGGCTTTCATAACGTTTTTATAGATTTTTTCGTTTCTTCGGTATATGTGGTTTTTCTTTTTCTCAGATGATGAAGATGATGAGGACAAAGAAGAAACGCTCAAGATATAATTAATTTTTACCAGTTGGAGTTTGATTTTTAGGTTTGAATTATGGGCTGTCATTTTGTTTTTTTAGATTTTTCGTTTGTTAATTAAGTTATGGATTATAGTTGTGTTTGACTTGGATTATGCTTTGGTTTTTCTGTTTTAGATGATGAAGATGATGAAGATGATGAGGACCGACAACACTCAAGATGCCATAAGACTAAATTGTAATTAATCAATTAGAGAATTGTAATGAATTTTTTTGGTTGAAAATTTTAATGGAATTGCAATCAAATGATATAATTATTGAATTGTTTCTTTGTGTATTGAATGGTAGTGATTGTACGTATATATATACTATTCAACTACTGTATATTTATTAGTCAATTATTGAAAAATGAAAAGGAAGAGATACACCAAATAAAAAAGAAAAAGAAATATATCAAATAGAAATTTAATACACAAATAAATATTTAAGTAAAACTTTAGATATATTAAAATATAAGGCTAAAGTTGATTTGACGGGTTGTGGGCCCCATGCACTTCAGAGGCAGTTGACAGTCAACTAAAATTTGTCACGAAGCTGTTGCATTCGTGACAAAACACCTTTAGCTAGAGCACTTCCAGCAGTTTGCCCTTTGTCATGGCAAGGGGGGAACTAGGGCAGCTACTATTCACGTAAATAGTGGCTGCCCTTGCCATATTAAGATATGTGTGTTTTCAGCAGTTGCCCTTTGCCATGGCAACTACAATTCATTTTTTTGTTTTTTTCACAACTTTTTTTACTTAAATAATTATTTTTGATAATATTTTCGGGTAAGATTTTTGGGTTCCTACGATCCAGAAATTTTTTAGCGGAGGTGCAATATTGACTAAGTATGAAAAATGATTTTTCGGAATAATCATTTTCTCAAGATAATTTTTGGCGGCTTTTGTTCCTTACACATCAAATAAGAAAACTTGATTTTATGGGATTTTATTATGAAGTATATATTGACTTAATGAGCCATCATTTTTAGCCTAAATCGTATTTTGCACTAAAACCGATTTTTCATATTTTGATTTGGTGGGAATTTGATTTTCTAGTATTTTTATTTGAATCCAAATGAGGGGTACTTCCTTATTAACATTGTAAACTTAAGTAAATGAAGTAATATAAAAATAAATAAAAGTAAAAGGACAAATACATTTACTTAGATGTTGAAAATGAAAATAAAGTAATATGTACACCTTAAGAGCATTTCCAGCAATGCAGCCAAGGGGAGGGCTAGCGGGGGTTTGGGCCAAAAAGCTGTTTCCAGCAACAAACTATTGCCCGGGCTGATGGTGGGACCCAGCAGACTGGGCTGGCCTGAGGGCAAGGCTGGCCCTAGTGCTGGCTTGAGGGCAAAACATGACATCAGCAGCTTTTTCCACGTGTCGCACTCTGGGCTCTCCGATCAGATTTTTTTTCCTCCAATCCAATGGCAGGCAATTTTTGTGCAATAAAAAAATGAAAAAAAATCGAAATTTATTTTTTAAAAATACTAAAAAATTACTAATTTTTTTTTTCTATAAATACCAACCAATACTCTTCACTTTTAACACCAAATCCTCATACATTTTATTCTTCTTTCTACTATTATTCAAGTTTTGAAATGTATCTTAAATTTGAAACCGAAAATCTTATCCGATATGAATAGTATTGACACGTAGAAACCCAAAAATCTTACCCGAAAATATTATCCAAAATAATTGTTTAAGTAAAAAAAGTTGTGAAAAAAACAAAAAAATGAATAGTAATTGCCATGGCAAAGGGCAATTGCTGGAAACACACATAGCTTAATATGACAAGGGCAGCCACTATTCACATGAATAGTAGCTGCCCTAGCCCCCCTGGCAAGGGGCAAACTGCTGGAAGTGCTCTTAGAGCTGGAATTCTAGTATGGTTATTTATTGTCATTAGATGCTTTCTTACACCGACACATAACCAAGTTGTCATAGAATTCGAGAGCTCTAACTTGCAAGTCAATGTCTTTTCCTACTAAATTATGTTTTGGGACAAAACTTAATTTTTATAAAAATCTAAAACCACCGTCTCGTTATCTTTTCCCTTTACCTCCTCCCTTTGGTGGGATTAAAAACCAAAAGGGCCCAAAACTTAATTTTTATAAAGATCTAAAACCACCGTCTCAATATCTTTTCCCTTTACCTCCTCCCTTTGGTGGGATTAAAAACCAAAGGGGTTTCTTCTTCTCCTCCCTTTCCCTTTTTCTAAATGCTCTCGGACCAATAACACCCACAAATCCCTCTTCTTCCTCTCTTTCACCCAAACAGAGGAGAAGAGAGAAACAAGAGGAATCATTGGAAGCGTCTAGAGAGAGAAAGAGCTGTAAGCTATGGAATCTTCTTCAGCTTCGAATGATGCGGTCAACTTCTTGGGGCTAAAAGAGGAGTCAATGGTGGACCCTTTCTTGGTCGAGGCTCTCCAGAATCCTCGCCACCGTCTCACCAGTCAGTAGTTTGTTTTTCT